CTATTTATATCTTTTTTAATTCCATCGACGTGAGCGAATTAACGCTGGCTTATCCAAAATTAAGTGAAAATACTTTGTGAAACCAGGAAATGTAACAGTTTTTAATAACAGTCCCTTTTCAGTACTTCATTTCCCTCATATTCGTGGAAAAGATCTGCGGAACAATTTAATTATAATTTTGCGAGCAATGTTAAACGATTGATGGGATTGATGAACCATCATTAATTCTGCATTTAATTTGAAGGGAGTTCAAAATGCAAGACATTCTGAACCTTCTCCTCATGATTAAGCTCCGTTTCTTTCTTACCTCTGCGGCTTTTAATGGCCACATGACTCTTTGTCTTGACCTAAAAAAAACTAAAACAATAAATTATCAGAAGATCGACTGTCGTTCCATTAAGTAGATCCCATCGACAAGAGCAGTACATTATAATAGTTTATGGCAGAAACAAATATTTTGAAACAAAATAACGAAGACTTAAGGATTGATGTTCTTTTTTAAATTAATTTTAAAAAATTGTGCTGAGGAAGTGACAAACATCCGAACATTCGAAGTAACTGGAAATACGTTCAACTACCTACACTGGGTGAAAATAGTAAAGTGACTAAGTTACCGGTTGAATTAAAGAGCGGCGAGAATGCGTAAGGTGAAAAGATCACTGCAGTGATGTAAGATGGCGAGAAAAAAGAGGGCGACAAGGCAAATGGGCTCGCGATTAGAGCAGTAAGGATCGATGGTGAGAAGATAGAAGGATTTAAAACAAATGGGCTCATAATAGCTGGTGAAAGTACAGATGGTGATACAATACCTGGTGATAACGCATTGGGCGATAAGATGGACGGTGCCAGTGCAGCAGGACTTAGAATTCCAGGACTGACAACCAACGGGGAAAGGACAATAGGAGAAAGTGCAAATGGTGATAAAATTGCCGGACTCAAGAGAGCTGGAGACAAGAGAGTAGGAAGGAATACACCTGGACTCAATAGAAGAGCGCCGAAAACCGATGGAGAAAAAAGCATTAGTGAAAATGCTGTGGGTGACAAGATAGATGGTTTTGTGATTGGATGGAAAGTAATGTTAGCAAAAGCTGA